CTTTATAATCTACACACATTCTTAGTTTGTTTCCTTTCTCAGGAACTACTACTATGTTTGCTAACCATTCTGGTTATTTGACTTCCCGGATGGACCCTATTTTAAGGAGTTTAGTTACCTCGTCCTTAATGAAGGCATGCTTGATCTCGGACTGGGGTCTCCTTTTCTGTTTTACCGGGCGGAACTTCGGGTCCAAGCTCAGTTTATGAGTAGTGATCTCCGGTGGGATCCCTGTCATATCAAGATGGGACCAAGCAAAACAATCAATATTAGCTGTAAGAAATTGAACGAGATTTTTCCTGAGCTCGGGAGTTACCCCGTGCCCGGGTATACCTTCCGATCAGGCAGATGTTCGATCAGCATGACATGCTCCAGCTCTTCGACCGATGAATTGGTAGCATCAGAATCATTAGGGGCGATAAAGGATTGAGGAACCCCGAAGTCATTATCTTCGTCAATCACTTACTTGTCCAATTGGGTCGAAGCTGGCATTGATGATTGTTATTTGGCTTCCTATTTCGCTGTCAAACCTGAGTCCTTTGTTGATGAGAGTGTTGATATTGGAATTACTACATCGACGACAACACCTCCTTCACGGCTGGTTGTTCCCCCTAAACCTTTTTTATCCCATCTGGTGTTGGAAATTTTAATACCTGGTGAAGGGTTGAAGGCACGATCCTCATATTGTGGATCCATGGTCTCCCAAACAGGGCGTTGTATCGCATGTCCCCCTCGATTACATAGAACTTGGTTTCCTGGGTGGTACCGGCAACGTTATTTCTCCCTTAGTAGTTTCACAAGGCATGTTGAATCCGTTCAGCACCCGAGCCGCAGGTACGATCTGGTCCTGTAGGTCGAGTTATTCTACGACCCTCGACCGAATAATGTTGGCCGAGCTACCTGGATCAATTAGCACACGTTTAACTCTAGTTTTATTCATAAGTACAGAAATTACCAGTGCATCATTATGAGGTTGCATGATTCCTTTTGCGCCCTCGTCGTTGAAAGATAGAGTCCCTTCTGGTAAGTAATCCGAGTCCATTTTTCTCTTATGATTGACACTTTGGTGCATTTCATCATCGAACCTTGAGGAACATCAACCCCTCCAATGACCATATGGATGACGTGCTGGGGTTCGTCTTGTTCATTTTGTTTGTTGGAGTCTCTGTTTCTAAAGTGATTCTTAGCTCGATCACTTAGAAATTCTCGAAGATGACCGTTGTTAAACAACCGGGCTACTTATTCCCTTAATTGTTGACAATCCTCCATCCTGTGGCCGTGCGTACCATGGTATTTGCATATTTGGTTGGGATCCCTTTGTCTTGGATCAGTTTCCAAAGGTCGAGGCCACTTGGTTTCTTTAATGCGCCCGATAGCCTATACGATGGCAGTCGCATCAACATTAAAGTTATACTCTAACAATCGTGGTGCCTCTTTGGGTCCCATAGATCTATCGAAGCCGTTCTTGCTCATGAATCCCCGTGAGCTTGAACCTCGATCATTTCTTCTTTCATTTCGTGCAGAGTTTTGCCCAGATCCGTTGTTCCTTCGGTCTCTATTATATGGTCGATATCGATCTCTATTCGACCTTGCTTCTCGGTCAATATCCCTTTTGATTTTATCGACGGGTCTGATAGGATAAACGGACCCAGAAGGATCCCCCAGTTGATCATCCTCGACCCTGATCTTCGACTGATACCGATTATGCACATCGGCCCAAGTGACAGTCGGGTATTCGATCAGATTCTGCTTCAACTGTTGTGAAGCCACTGAACTTCGAACGTTGAGACCTTGAGTGAAAGCTTGAACAGCCCAATCGTCGGCAACAGGTGGCAAGTCCATCCGTTCCATTTGGAATCGAGACACGAATTCTCTAAGCATCTCGTTGTCCTTCTGCCTTACCTTGAAAAGGTCCGACTTCCTGGCTTCGACCTTGATGGCCCCAGCGTGTTCCTTTACGAAGGAATCTGCAAGCATAGCAAACGAGTCAATAGAATTAGGCGGTAAATTATGGTACCATATCATAGCACCCTTCGACAGAGTCTCCCCAAATTTCTTCAGCAAGACGGATTCGATCTCTTCATCTTCTAAGTCATTCCCTTTGATAGCACACGTGTAGGAGGTGACGTGTTCGTTTGGATCAGTCGTCCCATTATACTTAGGAATCTCAGACATGCGGAACTTCTTGGGGATTGGCTTTGGAGCCTCACACGGGGGGAAAGGTTTTTGTACGAACTTTTTGGAATCCAGTCCTTTCAATATTGGTGGTGCCCATGGGATTTGGTCGACCCTGGAGTTACAGGTTTTCACCTTCTTGTCGTTTTCCTCGATCTTTTTTTCCCCTGTCTCGATTCGCTTAGTCAGTTCTTCGAGCATCTTCATGATAGCAGGATTGGTCTTCGATTCCTTCTCGTTCGATTTCCTCGAAACCGATTCGACCATGTGTACAATTTCCTGGGATGACTCGAGTTCGACCCTGCTCGGTGTGTGGTTCTGGTTTTGGAGCTGCGCTATTACCGCATGTTGGGCCTGCAATATTTCGAAGATCACCCATAGGCTGATCCCGCCATCCTCACCGCTATGTGTACTCTGAGTAGCTGATCGAGCATCCCCGCGGATGCTGCTTTCAGGATCGACGGCCAAATTTCTATTGATGGCTACATGTGAACTGACGTCGATTGGATCTACAGCAGGGACTCCATTGAGGCCAACTGGGGGTACATCGTTTCCTGGTGCTATGTTATCATTTTCGCCGTGGTGGCCAAAGTCGTTGTCAATGTGTTGGGGCGCTGACTGAGAGTTCGACATTTTTTAGTCCTGTAATCAAAGATCGAAAATATTCGGGATTCGGTATTAATTCCTGAACAGTTACGAATTCAAAGTTCTACGCTAAACATCATAAGAAGCTCTTACTCCTTTATTGTTTACATATTATTCTCATTTTTAATTATTTGCTTTCAATTCACAGAGATCTATTTATTTGAAGTATGAAATTTACTTGCGGCCTAATTTTATAGATTTAATTATTTTAGTCTACTAATCAAATTTTAGATTAAACAGTATGTTCATCATTTCTGTAAAAAAAGAATAACAAATATATTGCTTTAAATTAATTTCCAACCAAAATTTGATTTCATCTTGCGAGGATTGCTATAATTGTTTTTTTAGGTGGTTATAATTCTCTCTTTCATGTTCTATTCACCGTGCAGAAAAATTAATCATAGGGACGGATTCATGATTTAAGCTTTTCAGATGAAATCTTTAATATTTTCAATATTAAACTTTTTAAAAAAATTATAGGTTCATCTCTACTTTTCTACAATTTTAATAGGGTTTTACACGTAAATTTATACTTCACATCGAAAATATTGAGTTCAGATAGATTCGATACCAAAACATTGAATCAGCCATATGATGTCTATAAAAAAAAATCTACAACTCAGGTGTTCTTACAAATTAATTAATGTATGATATATGTTTTCTTATTTTTTATTCCTTAATCAAGATTACTTAATAGTAGGGCTGTCAAATTTGGCCCAAGCCCAAATGACCCGCCCAACTCGCCCAAGGTTGGGTTGGTTATTGACCCGCCCATTTATTGAACTTAGCCCATCTTAACCCAACCCATCTCAACCCATTTAAAGTTGGGCTAATTTTTAGCCCAAATTGATCCATGAGTAAGTTTGTCAAAATAACTTAGAAATAATTTTATTTTTTGTTTAATATTTTTACCATAACAAAAGCAAAAAAACATTATTTAGTAACTATACAATTTATAAGAAAATAACACATACTAATTAAAGTTTAATAAGAGTTGGGCGGGTTGGGTTATGACCCGAATTTTAACCCATCTTGACCCAACCCATCTTAGCCCAAGTAACTTTTGGGCGGGTCATTTGACCCGCCCAATTATTGACTCAACCCATTTTGACCCGCCCAAAATTGATCCAACCCGCCCATTTGACACCCCTACTTAATAGTATATCTTTTACCTCAAATTTCATTTGATTTAATATAAATATTGAATAGTAATGGAGTAATATTTTTTCTTGCTCAATTAAGGGCGTCTGTCTCCCGAAGTGAAACCAGGCGCAAGTGTAGCGCCATATGCTGCAAAAATTAAATGCAAAAGGGGTACAGTAATAAAGTCGGATAAGGATTCATGTATGGTGGCTTGCAATTGTCAATTTCGCGTCCTTTGGTCGCAAAGGGCCATTTAATTTAGGCACCAATAACTTCAACCCAAAGCACCTCTACTTCAATATGTAGGTTGACAATTTATCCAAAATATTAAAGGAAGTTTGTTGTTAGCCATCTTTTAACTTGGCTAAAAAATAAAAAGTAATAAAATAACAAAATAATGATAATAAAAATAATAATGATGATGGTTTTTGTGTTCTGATCTTCCATTTCCTTCATTGCAAACTTCAGTTTAATGGAAGAAGTGGCAACAAAATAATGTACTCTATCTCGTTCAGTTTACTAGAATCTATTTTTTTTCCGTTTCAATAAAAAAACATCTATCCAAATTTAGAAATAAATAAAAAATAATTTTTAATTTTACCCTCAATTAGAATCTTCAATAGTAATATAAATGTTCTGGTACATTTAATACCATAAATTTTTTAAAAACAATTATATCCACATAAATATCATGGCTTATTAAGGACTATAAATCTTAAAAAAATTTCTTTCTTAAATTTTAATATTAAGTCAAATATGCTAACATAAATTAGAATAAAAGGAGTATATATATATATTTTTTTTGGTAATTCTAATTTAATATTAACAAAATAAAAAATTTCTATCTACGCACTATTGTGTACCTCGTAATCTGCGTCAAATGGGATGCTATCTAAATTTACTGCTCTTAGTTTATTTTTTACCCTAGTAGAGTTAGTAGGAGATAGTAGGACAGTGTAAACTGAAGATATTTTAACCTAACCATAGTTAACTCAACCTATTAACCATGGTTAATATAGCTGTTTATAAGGCTGCAACCCGCTTCTTTGGAAGGCAAGGTGAGGAGAAGCAGTAAAGAGAAACGGTTCTATACACGAAGCTCTGAAAAATGATGATGATCGGAAGATCACCTCACTCACATCCGACCGTCCAAGTCCCTCCTTGGGACGTTATGGATGATCCAACGGTTGATGTTCATTCCCCATTTTCCGTTACACCCAACAACTACTCCACTAGTCCTGATTCTGGTTTTGACGCCTTAACGGCGTTGCAGCGTTACCTGCCGTCGAATGCTAACGACGTCTTGTTCGATTCTGACGGCTTGGACATTCCCGTGGACGCTTTCTCATGCGATAATTTCCGCATGTATGAGTTCAAAGTGAGGAAGTGTGCACGTGGAAGGTCACATGACTGGACGGAATGTCCGTACGCTCATCCCGGCGAAAAGGCTCGCCGTCGGGATCCTCGGAAGTATCATTACTCCGGCACTGCTTGTCCGGATTTTCGTAAAGGTCTGTGTAAGAAAGGCGATGCATGTGAGTACGCGCACGGCGTATTCGAGTGTTGGCTTCACCCTGCTCGATATCGTACGCAGCCTTGTAAGGACGGGACCCACTGTCGCCGGCGCGTGTGCTTCTTCGCTCACACGCCGGAGCAACTCCGACTTCTCCCACAGAACAGTCCGCGAAGCCACGCTGCTGAGTCCTGTGACTCCTTCGACGGATCACCGAGTCGATTCGGTTTTGACTCGTTCTCCTCGTCTCCGCCGTTTGACTCGCCTCCGATGACTCCGAGTGGATCACTGAGTCTCAACTCAATTAACGGACTGGCTGAGTCGATGCGTAATATGCAGATTGGGATGGTTAGAGGTATGAGTAGCCCTACTTGGGGGTTGCAAATGGGTTCTCCAGGGTTTGGTTCACCGCGGAGCCCATCAACGCTCCGACCCGGGTTTATGAGCCTTCCAACAACTCCGACCCGGAACCCGACCCGCTCTGGACGGGCTGTGTTCGACCACTGGGAGAAGACTTGCGAAGAGGAGCCAGCGATGGAGAGGGTAGAATCTGGAAGGGATCTCCGAGCCAGAATTTATGCTAAACTCAGCATGGAAAACTCGCTTGACTCGGGTGCTCCGGATGTTGGATGGGTTTCAGAACTCGTGAAATGATCCGGGTTCGGGTTATGATTCGTTTTGCTGTAATGGTTTTATTGGATCTGCGGCTTCTGACTTGTAAATACATGCTGCTGCTTATTTACTGAAGATTATTGGTGTAAATAGCCTGTTTCGGCTGGAGAGATTAGCCTTTTAATCCCTATTTTGTGTTTGCTTATTTGGGTATTTTTATTAGGTCAGAAAACTGAAAAAAAGAAAAGAGTAGTAGGAGTTTGAATATTTTGTACATAAGAAAAAAATCTAGGAACAAGGGATCTTTCTTTATTGCAGGAGCTGCAGATGTATATGATTATCGATTTGTATTCTCATTTCAGTCATTTTTTGCTAATTTTTAAAGCTTTTTGGTATATTGAAAGTTTCTTGATTTGAGTAAAGTTTCTAGCTTTAATTACACTATGGAGTACCATGTCTGTTGAGTTGAAAATTGTTCATTTTTGGGAAATTATTATCCATATTGTATGGGTCAAAATCTGATCAAAATCCAACCATGACTTTCAGTTGGCTAACAATTAAAGGGAACGGTAAGGGGTCGATCAAGCCATGATTGTGCCCATGAGGCATGATGGTCGAGGTCGAGCCGTCAAAGGGCTTATGTAGCAGGACATAACGCTTAGGCGCGTGAGGAAGGGTACATGAAGTCATGTGATCCTCAACAAGACGAGCAAGAGGAGATCCTCAACAACAAACCTAGATTACATATTCTTGCTACATCTTCCTATAATCATCATTGTTGAATCAACAAAGATTGATCTCGTAGCTATCAATAACTTCCTTTCTTTTCCTTCTTTACTCTTACAAGTATGTTATAAACATATCAAAGATGTAAGCTTATTATTTACATTCGATGTCTATCAATCGTATTAAGGGATCTTATATAGACTTGGTCTCCTGATATTCAACATGTTCAGATTTAGAGTTAATTATGTTTGGCTAAGATTTACCTGTCATCCTACATCTCATCATTAATTAGTTCAACTAAAAGGTTCTACACTTTTTTTGTCAAACAATTTAGTGTGTTGGAGATAATCTTGAATCAATGTATCCAATCATGAAATTGAAAAGTTGGGTTTTGTTCTTGAGTGTAAATGGACCACAATGCCAGCTTGATTGATGTAATTTTCCTCTATAAGTATAAAAATCTTTATCCCCACTAGGTAAAGTTGATTGTATTTGGTTCATGATTTTGTGTATCCTTTCCTGCAGTGATGGCTTGTTTTTAAGAGGCAAAGGCCATACTGGTTTGGCTGGTTCAATGCTTTGTGTCAATTTTAGGGGATATGATAATGCATAGGAGGATAACTTTGATGTGATTGCTATTTTGTCATTCATAGAGCAGTTCCTCTCATTTGATTTATTTGTTTATATTATAATATATGTTCTCTATAACCGTCCACGCCTCACATTGCCCCAAAGTCATCCTAATTGTTAATGGACGTATATTAATTTATTTTCACCCTAATTAAAATTAGAGCTAAACTACATAAATATATGAATGATTATCCAAGTAAACCCAAGAAGAAAAACATAAATATAGCAAAATCAAGCTATGGATACAGTTAAACCTCTCTATAACAACTATGATATAACAATATTTTATTAGGCGGATCGGATTAGGGTTGATCTTAGATAGCTTGTAGTTTATGTTGAATTCACACTATCCCTGCTGTTTATCTTAGTTACTGGTTACCGTTATTGCATGTCATTTATCTTTTGGTTGTTATGCTTCTGTTACTATTACGGTTTCTACGGGAGTTACTAATGAATTGTCTCCTTCCTTCTTCTTTTTTCTGAGCCGAGGGTCTATCGGAAACAGCCTCTCTGCCCTATCGGGATAGGGGTAAGGTCTACGTACACATTATCCTCCCCAGATCCCACTGTGTGGGATTTTACTGGGTAGTTATTGTTGTTGTTGTTGTATTATAACGGTCATGTTTTCTTTAGAACTAAATTTTCATGTTATATTATAATATATGTTCTCTATAATAATATTTTACTGTAGCATCAAAAGAACTTTGGAATAAACGACACTGTTATAAAAATGTTTGACTGAATTTTTATTTATTAGAAGAGAGATTAGAATTAGAAGGATGACGTGGATGCTTGAAGTGACAAAGCCCATCCTTATCCTTTATTTAGCGGTTACATCTTAAGTGTCATTTTGTATAGTATACTATTTATTTTATATCCTTGATTATCACGTCCTCTCTTGTTACCACTAAAAAGATTGTACTTTGTACTTTTTTATTATTATCCTTTTGTAATCTTGAAGATGTGGAGGAAATCTTTAACTTGTTTCGAAGAAAAGATTGCAACTTGTAATAGTTACAGTTTATTTGGTCAATATGTGACCACTTGACATATTCTTTGTGATCCTTTTACTGAAATGTGAAAGATGAGTTATAGTATAGTGTCTTGATGATAAGTTGAGCATTCCTGTTTAATACCATAATGAATGTTATTCATGAAATTAATTTTTATTTTTCTTTTATTTCTCCCTCCTTTGATATCGTCTAATTAAAAAGTAAATAACTTGGTGGGCGTTTGCACATAAGATTGTAAAATTTTGAAAAAAAATTTAAAAATCTAGTCAAGTAAAAATGATATTTAAAAATTAGAGTTGTATTTAGACATAAGTATAATTTTAGGCTCATTTAAAATTTTGTGAGTGATCTAAAGTAAAAATATAAAAAATAACTTTTTGAAGTTTTTAAAATTTTCGAAAAATTCTGAAATTCATATTCAAGTGAATATGGCTAAACACTAATTTCGAAATAAGTGAATAAAATTTCGAAAAAAAGGAATCTTTTTTCTGGCCACACGGGTCCTTAGCCTTGTGGATTTGGGAACAGTCTCTCCACGACTCTACTCGCATAAGGATCACAGATGGATCTAGGATATCTTGAATATGGGTATACAATTAAAAAAAAATAGAAGAAAATATTAAGTGGGAATTGATCGATGTTCCTTTAGGTGTAAATAGCACAATATTCAATCAAGTGCATCATATAGTTTTTTGGAGAATGGGTGCCAACAGATAATATTAGATAAATTCTAAAAAATACGTACGTAAAAATATAGTTTGATGGAAAGATTATGGATTCACTTGTCCAATGATTTGGGCTACAAATTCGCCCCGGATAAGGATAGGGGTATAGTCAGCATATATATTAGGAAATTTTACCTCCTGTAGCGAAGGCGTACACCCTATTTATTATAAATCAAAAATATTTTAAAATATAATTTTCGATAGCTACCTTTTATACTTTATAGCAAAATAAGTATTTATCGTATATACTACCATTGAGGCATGAAATAAGCCATGAAATACGCTATTTATGTTTTTCCTCTCTCTTAGAAAGCTATATTCATGAACACATGGCGCGAATACATGTGAATACATGCGTGTACAACTGGACTGCCCTGATTTTTTGCCCTTTTTACTATTGTATTCATAAATACAGCAGCGCGAATACATGTGAATACATGCGCATACAGCTGGACTGCCCTGATTTTAAGGGCTTTTTGTTGTTGTATTCATGAATACAACAACGCGAATACATGTGAATACATGCAAGTACAGCTGGAGTGCCCTGATTTTAGGCGCTTTTTGAATACAGCAGCACGAATACAGCGAATGCACTATCGTAATAACTGAATAGTAACTATATAAAATAATTATGTATATGGTAGCTATAGAATATTAATGACGACTAGACAATAATGGTTTCTGAAAATTCCTCTATATATTATTCTCCATAAACTTCATTACGTAGAATTATACTTTATATGTTATACTCAACCGACTTGCGGAGGAAGCGATTGATTAAAGAAAAGAGAAGCAAAAAGCTAAAGGCCGACAAAAAGGGATGAGGGAATTGGATTAGTTTTGAAGTACCTAATCAAAGCAAACCAAACACAAATATGACAAAAGATAAACACCTAAAAAATTGCAACATGTTGAGACTTTTTAATTAGTGTGGGAGTTTATCGAATCCTGTGTTCCTGTCTTTCTTTTTACTTTTCCACCACCTTAATTCAAGATTGCAACTACTTCACCACTACATTTTGATCATGCAACGGAATTTGTCTGCCAAATTGCTATTGTTTTTGTTATTTTTCTCACAACCCTCGAGAAAGTGTGTCAAATAATATGATTTTGATAGTTACAACTTGCAACCTCTTTTGATCCTTGTGTGATTTGTAGGCTATTATACAATGGGGGTTCACCCAATACGCACAAAGTGTTCGCCATAGAATGATCACCCGAAGGGCAGAGCTAGGTTGTGGCAAAGGCTATAGCCGTATGGGTCAAAATCTAATCGAAGAGACCTCGCCTGAAATAGGGAAATCAAGAATCAATTAGGCCGAGGTCATGCTTAAGAAGCAACATTGGCGAGCCGAGCAGTGAATGTCGAGGTCGAACACTCAGATCGGTCAAACGGCTAGTTTATCAATAAGATATTTCTAAAGAATATTCGGAGGAATATTCTCGGTATTTGTACTTTCAGTAGGTAAGGGGAATGTCTCATATAAGTAGGAAGAGAGAAAGAGAGAAAGAAGGGGATCCAATAATTATCGATCTTGATAAGCTCTCTCTGGAGAAGTTGACTTCCATATAACTACAAACATCATCTTTATACAATATTCGATTTGCTGTGTTGTTCCAAGCTTTTTCCACACTAGATCCGATAAAGTGTTTGTTGTTCACACGTTTGGCCATCTTACATCATTGTCAGAAAGAGAATCATCCACCTTGTTACACATTTGGGTGAATTATTCTCTTTATTTACAGTCATTGTCATTTATCATATTTATAGCTTGTCTTTATTCCTTCATTTATTCACAAGAATATAATTAAACCGCTTTTTGGCCTTAAATAGCTTTAAATGCGATTTCTAGGTTGTTATTTCCCACCAATCTTGGATCTCGAACTTATTATATTTAACTAGAATTTACATATTATCATTCACTTAATTAGTTTAACAAAAAGGTATAAGACTTTTTGGTCAAACAATTTAGCGCCGTCTGTGGGGACTTTCTAGTTAAAAGTTTTAGTTTTTTTCTAGATCTAAAAAAAACACACACAAAACTCTGCACAGTCTCGTATATCGTGTTTGCACATATCTAACATGGCAGGCAATGGAGAAGAAAAGTGAAAGGCGATAGCCGATCTCACCACCAATCTCCTAAACACTATCGACGAAGCTCATGGAGAGGAAGAGGAGAATATGACACCAAACGCCTCACCCAGACGAAGTGATTCACCCTCTCCTCATGGCATCGTTACCGCTTCTCATGGAAAGGGAGCCTCCACGTCCATACGAAAGAAGCACCACCAGCGGTAAAAAAGCTACTAGAAGCATGCTTAA